GGGGAAGGTGTTATTAAATTGCCTTGGCAACAGATATTCACAACGAGACTGCCTTGACCTGTGCCAGAGGGATAAATATCTCTTTGCGGAAAGAAAAACTAACTCCAACCCTATATCTTGTACACTCCAAGAAACATCTTATAAGAAAAGTTCAGAACATATGCCAAGATAAGTGGAAAGAAAAAAACTAATACCTGCAGAGTGGCATCTTGAAGCAGAATGAGGATTGATAGCCTCAGATTTGATTAGGCAAACCTCCGCATCACGCCACTGAGACAAGCTTGTGTAAACATTTGCTAGGTCATGCCATGTTTCCATTTCTAAACTTCTAGTGTTGTTTCTCATGTTCTGTGGGTTTAAAGGGCAAAAAGAACAACACAACTGATGAGAGACGGAGAATTAAAAGGACAAAGCAAAGTACAAAAGCCAGACAAACTACTAAGGAATACAAGATTGAACTTGAACATCCACCAATTTCCTACAGTCCTGCCTGAAGAAGAGAAATAGGATTGAAAGAGAACTGAAACAGAAGATTACATTTGGAAAAATTCCTTCCCCATTTTCCCTCTTCAATTGCAAATGTGAAGGTTCTTATCTCGGAAAGAGAACGAATAAAGGTTGAAAGCAAGCGCTTTGCAAGGTCATGTATCGTTTCAGTAAGTGTCAAGAATTTGAAAAGTGTCACTAAATTAAACTAGAAGGTCTATTAGACTTATTAGATTAGCAAGATTTGTTATCCAAGTTGATATTTCATGTCATGAGGAACCATACCTTTAACAACTTTTTCTGAACTCCAAAACTTTTTCTCTGAACTTGGAGTACAGCAAGAAGATGAGTATATGTCTCCACCGCATCCCGCAGATGTTCCTGGGCAATCTGTAGTTTAGCCTTAGTGCGTAGTAGTTCTCCTTGATTCCATTTTCCTGTTTCGTCTAGTGCAGCATTAACTATGTTTTCTGCATCTATATACCTCTTTTGAGCAGATAGTATACGAGCAAGAAGAAGCCATCCTTTGACAATAGATCCTCCCTCCAACTTCAACAGCTGCTTTGCATAGTAGAGAGCAATATCCAACTTTCTCTGCTCTGCATTCTCCAAACTAAGGTAGAAAAGAACAGTAGGATTTCTTCCTTCAGTTATCTTTTGAGCCGATTCAAGTGATTCAAGAGCTTCACTCAGTCTTGACGTTCTCTCAGAATCAGACACGAGG